GTTAATAAATAAGATCGAAGAGGAATGAATCATTTTAAAAATATATTGGAAAGCAAGATGAAACATCGTAAGAATAAATAATGTATACAGAGGGTATATTTGTATAAATTAAAAATATCAAATCCATCGAAATATTAGGGTTTGATTTTATTCGAAGAAATGAAAAATATTTTAATATCTGATCGGCCAATAAGTCATGTCAGAGAATTTTCATATCTTAATCAACGATATTAATATTTCTTCTTTTATCGAAAAAAAATCCTTTTTCTTTGTTCTCTTCATTACTTATCATTAAAAACGTCAAAAAAGAAAAATATCTGATAAGGAAAGAGATCGTTTAGAACGTTTGTTGTGATTCGTGGTACTATCAATCATCAATCGTTATCTCAATAATATTGGATTGAAACGTGTAAGATTTTTACATTTTTCTTTTTTTTTCTTCGTATCAAATCATCCATAGAATTTGAATTTTTTTCCTTTTTTCTATGGACCGTCATACTATGACAAAAACAACAATATATATATATATATATATATATATATATATATATTCCATTTAAAGAAACAGATTCTGATGTTTCAAAAATGTAATATTGATAACTCGAAAAAAAAATAATATTATTTTTTTACATAGTAATTAATGCAAAATAAATATTTAAATATTCCTGTTTAAATGGCACGTTCTATATATTTAAAAGCAAATGCTTTCTCTATCTTTCTCTTTCTCTACCTTTCTCTCTCTCTCTCTCTCTCTCTCTCTCTCTCTCTCTCTCTCTCTCTCTCTCTCTTTTTCCTTATATTTCTGTATCGTAACAAAGCGTATAAACGAATTGTTACATGGTCTTATTTGTCGTTTGTAAAAAGAAAAGAGGAATCGTGCCATGCCGTGCTGAGCATAGAAACATTCTATGCGGTGGTGGCCACTGGCACAGCATTAATCATACTTTTATGCGAGCCACACTGGATACCGGCTGAATTGTTAATGAGATTTTCCACGAGAAAGACTAATTAATGTCTGGCCCGTGCCAAGGCAAATTACATTTTCGATACTGGCAAGAATGAAAGGGGTTTGGTACCTCGTTCGACCTTCTGCCTTCGTTTCTACCAAAAATATCTAGCAGTCTAATAACATCATAGAAACCTATATATACATATATACACACACACATTTATATACATTTTTGTATATATCGTAAACGTCGATAATTTTATTATTATTTCTTTATATTTATAATCTTTTATATTATTATCTTGATATTAGAATTTTTATATTAATAAAATGACATAAAGAAAAGATCGTAACATTGTATTTATTCGAATGATACAATTTTGTGTTATAACACTTTTTTGACATATTAATCGATGCAAATAATTTAAATGATAGAATTTAAATGATATTAGGATTGAAATAATACATTTGATATATTCGAAAGTAAACGCTCTAGTTTTATTTCTACTTCTATTTCCATTTTTATTTCCGTATATATATATTATATATATATATATATATATATATATATATATATATAACGTCTATTAAATTTCTATAGTTGGCCTCGTTAAAACTTGCCTAATATGGATGACTTCTCATTGATATATCGTACAACTTTATTAATAATATTTCATTGGGATAGAGTTACTGCGACTATTTAAAGAGAAATATATATATATATATATATATATATGTATACATACATTTATAGATAGATAGATAGATAGGTAGAAAGAGAGAGAGAGAGAGAGAGAGAGAGAGAGAGAGAGAGAGAGAGAGAGAGAGAATGAGTGAGAAGATCGTACGCTCGTAAAGCTCAAAATGGAAGAGATAACGCGTGACGTTCTCGAGTACGCTTGTGCTTATCGCGTTTACGAATTAGGGTCGATCGTTGAAAACGGTTGGACGGTAGTACTGCAAGTTCGAGAGAGATAGCAAAAAAAAGCAAGAGAAAGAGAGAGAGAGAGAGAGAGAGAGAGAGAGAGGGAATGCAAACACTAAATATTCAAAGGAAGAGAGTGAGTGAATAAAACATCGCGATCGAACGTAGACACACGCGACGATACGAAAAGATGTAGGGAAAGTGATTAGATGTGAAACGTTGTTGTTACCGATGGTGCTTTTCAAAAAGAAAAAAAGGAAAAAAGAAAAAAAGAGAGAGAGAGAGAGAGGGAAGAAAAGGAAAAGAAGGAAGAAACGAAAGAGCGAAAAAAAAGAAAAAACAAGAAAAAGAAAATAGGAACAAAAAATAAATGAAAAAGGAGTAAATAGAACAAGAAGATAAAAAGGAGGAAAAACAAAACAAAAAAAAAAAGAAAAAACGAACGTTAACAATTAAAGCGAACGAAGCTCGACGAACCGAATAAAAAACATTGCTTTGCTTCTATCGGCTACAGACATTTGTTTGTTTGTTTTTTTTTTTTTTTTTTTTTTTTTCATTGCTTTTCTTTTCATTTCTGTTTTTCTTTTTTTTCTTTGTTTCTCTTTCTTCCCTTTCTTCTTCGTTTCCTTTTTTTCTTTTTTCTCTCTCTTTTTATTATTTGCTCGTCAAGATTTAAGAAGAAAAACGTTAGGATGAAATTCGATGAGTTTCGATATTGATTGTCTCAAGCGCAAAAGGGAAAAATGTTACGAGTACGTCGTTCATATTAAAAGAGTAGAATTCGCGTTTTCCGGCATAACGAGAGACTACCCTGCTCAATCCACCCCCGCACCCCCTCCCCACCCCACACCCCCTGCCATCCACCCCATACTCCTTTTCCTCGAATCTATATAATCCACCTGAAAGCGGATATTGTAGCCAACAAGAATGAACGTTTTTAATCGGAGCGATCCCAGTAGCTCGGCTAATTACGTCTAAGAAGATTAATTGGAAAGGGGTCGACGATCGAACTTTGCCTCGATTCCCTTGAGCCTTCACGATGCGAAGTGTCTTCTCGCGTTTCCTTGATAACGTTTTATCACGTCCTTTTGATATTACCTTTTGAAAATCTTTGCATTTTCGTTTTTCCTTACGATTTATTTTCTCCTTTTTTGGTTTTTTTTTCTTTTTTTTTTTTTTTTTTTTTTGAATTAAAGTACGACAAAATTTCATTCAAAGCTATCTTATTTATTTCTCGACATTTAGAATTTAATGATATTGAAATGTTTTTCTTTTCTTTTTTTTTTCTTTTTTTCTGCGACTCAAAAAATCTATTTATTTATATATATATGTATATATATATATATATAAAATATGAATTATTATATTTTAATTTCAAATAAGTTTAACAGTTACAATTACAGATCCGTATGAACCGATTTAAAATCTTTAATATTTTCTATAACAAATAACAAATAGTTTTTTTTTTTTTTTTTTTTTTTTAATGGACTTTTCTATACTTAACGTTATTTAAGAAAGAAAATGTTATTCATAAAAGGAAAGGAAACATTTTATTCATAAAATCCTTTTTCGACTCTTTAATTCTTGTACGGCATCGGTGTTCCGATTTCTTTTCTTTCTTTTTTCTTTTCTTCTTCTTCTTCTTCTTCTTCTACTTCTTCTTTTTTCCCTCTCTTTTTCTTCCAAAACCTTTTTCATTCGTCGAGATGTAAGTAATCTCGAGAAAGAATGAGCCACCGCCCAACGTTTTTGCGATGCAACGTGCACGCGGCCTACATCCCGACGACACCCATTGCAACACTATATTTTCCATCATTTTTACGAGAATGGTTCCATTGGAGTGGGAGTATTCACGTATTAGGTTACCGGGTCAACCGCATCGGTAGCCTCTATTATTGTAGTCGACCTATCGTAAGTTGGCTCGTGGCCCACAAAGAAAAAAATCTGAAGAAAGAAAAAGAAAAAGAAAGAGAGATAGAGAAAGACAGGCAGAGAGAGAGAGAGAGAGAGAGAGAGAGATGTATAGATAGATAGGATAGATAGATAGAGATAGATAGAGAGAGAGAGAGAGAGAGAGAGAGAGAATGAGTGAGTGAACAAGACAGAAGAAATCTTGAAGAATCCTCGAACATATCTCGTTAGTAAACGCGAAACTCTCTTCTATTCGATATTCGATTATCCTTTAAACGTTTGAGAGTCCTATTATCCTTTCGTGAGGGAAAAGGCATTTCAACGAGAAGTTCACCATTAGTGATCGTTCTTAAGCTGTTCTTTCTTTTTCTTGAAAGGAAATATTTCGTTTGAAGGATTTCTTTTTTTCTTTTCCTTTTTACCTTTTTATGATATGTATGTATATGTGTGTGTGTGTATATATGTGTGTGTGTATGCATGTATGTCTATAGTATGTATGCAAGGTATATTTGCGTAACGGTCAACAGGATTTTTATCAGTACGACACTTCCGGTGGTGTGAATGAAAAAAGAAGAAAAAAAAAAAAAAAAGAAAAAAAAAGAAAGAAAATAGATGAAAAAGAAAGTAAAAATAAAAATAAAAAAAAACGAATGCTTCAAAAAAAAAATTCATCAGAGCTCTGACGATCGAGTTGTCAAAAAATAACAGAAATAAAAAAAAATTGCCAAAGTATTCTTTTTTTTTTTTCAATAAAAGATCTGCGTTTTCTTTCTCTCTCTCTCTCTCTCTCTCTCTCTCTCCCGTTTTTTTTTCTTGATTTGTTTAATGGCATTGTACACAACAATCTTGATCAAAATAATATTGCAAATGACATTACTTAATATATTCATTGATCTAGAAGAAATATTTGTTGTATGATAGCTTGTTCAAAGAAAATCTCATGTTTAATGAAATATATATTAATGAGATATTAATGAGATAATAATTAGTAAGAGTAATTGGTAATTGAACAATGAAAAATTACTTGAAGGGAGTTGAATTTTAATATCTATTATTAAAGTCGGTAAGAACTGAAACTGACATATGTACATACGTATGTATGTACATTGGGTTCTCCTTATCTCTCTCTCTCTCTCTCTCTCTCTCTCTCGCTCTTTTAACTTTCGAGTTATCGATCGACTTTCTGACCCGAATTTGCAACGTTTTTATTTGCAG